CAGCAGGATACATATTTCAGGTGGGGAATGGGCCTACACTGTATAAAGAACAATTAAAAATAGCATGGCTACTCAAAACTAGGTAATCATTGGAATAAATTATGACACCTGTACACAGTGGAGGATGAAAAATGATAGGGCAGGAAAACATTTAGTGATATGGAAAAAGGTACTTGATATACTAAGAGAAAAAAAAGCAGGTTCCAAATAGCATCTTCAGTATTCTCTCTGTTTAAACTTTAAAACAAATCTATATTTAGAAAAAAAGATTGGTGATATATACACCAAAAAGTGGTTATCTCTAGGAGGTGGGATTACTAGCGATTATGATTTTCTTATTTGTGCTTTTAAAAAAATTGTGCAAATCTCCTATGATGTGCATGCAATCAGAAAGGACCAATTCTATCAACAGTAGGTGTTCATGTATCTATTATCACAATCAAATGCGACAACTCAAGAGCAGGACCTAAGAGTACCTGCCATTATTTTACCTTTGCAAAAGATTTTGTAATTTCTTTTTGGCTGACTGAGGTTAATTGGTTATCTCAGGAAACAATTTTCTTACTAAAAATTCATATGGGCAGGGGGAGAAGAAACAAGCTCACTATGAAATTGCTTGACTAAAGCTGAGGAAAATACACACACCCCTCTGTGTAAAGCTGTGCAGCCCATGATGTCAACAGCATCCACATTTGCTTCCTTTTCAAGTAACAACGAAACAGCATCAATGTGTCCATATGCTACTGCAAGCATCAGCGGGGTTCTAGGAAAAGAGGGAAATTAGGCTTTTAAAAAGAAGATTAAGAAAATACTCATCACTTCCAGTGGGAGGATCTCCCTCTCTCCATCCCTCTGTCTCTCTCTTTCTCAGTCTCTCTCCCCTCTTGACAATTGCTTGACATTTTCTGAGGGTCCCCACCTTGCTCTCTGCCACTTGGAACAAGCTATCTGCCTCTGGTCTCTAATGGCCACATGGAATGGCGGCAGTGGACTGATCAATATGGGTGGGGCACAGGAAGGTTCCACCTCAAAATGTTCATTTGAGTTCCATCATTTTCAGAACTATGTAGCACTGACCAAATATCAATTGAGTGAGGAGTGTGTATATGTAAGAGACGCTCTTGCTTCTATCAGAGCAGCTCTACTTTCATGGTTTTCTACGTCGGACTTTGGCTCAAGATTTTATTTGAACAAAGCTTCATTGCCTTAGACAAGCCCAGAGTCGCAAGATCCAAGTGCTGGGATCCAGAAGGTGAGGTTCCAGCTTTGGCTTCGACATGAACTCATATATCTGGGGTGAGTCACTAGTGCTTTGTTGCTCTGCGTTTCCTATTTGTAAGAGAAGACTGGGTGGGAGAACGGGCTAACAGATGGAAAACACTTCGGAAAAACAAACTCAGGAAGCATAAAAATATGAAGGATTTTTCCAGTGGAGAGCACTTCTTGAGGTCTGTCCTATTACATTATTAATTTAAAAGATGGGACTGTAGCAGCTTCAGAAGAGGGTAAAAATGGATAGAAAGGAACAAAGGAGGGAATATTTTTAAAAGGCCAGAGCACATGGCTACAGACATAAAAAGTTGGCTGTTTTTCATCAAGATATACACACACACACACACACATTTTTCTTGGATATACACTCCAGTGCAAAGCCACTGCATTACTCTAGGACCCTCATCCATGAATTTCACCCCAATATATACCCCCAACCTAGAATTCAGCAGTCAGCCCTCCTAGCTATTTAACAAATTAACCAGTCACCTGCAGTGATTTGCAATGTCAACCCCAAGCGCATGAACACTTACTGTCCTTTGGCATCTTTCACGTCAACCACTTCTGGGTTGTCTGCAATTTCTAGTAATAGCCGCAAACACAGTGTGTGACCATTAATTACTGAAAAAGAAAATAATGGACATTCTTTTAACAGACCACACATATCCCTCCAAAGTGAACTTTACTGGGACTTCAAATGGGCGGTTTTCAATTGTTGCTAACAGACATCTCCAGGTTTCCAGGTCGTTCCAGCTGCTGGGCTAAGCACACAGTGTGTATGTTATCAACCCATCTTCCCCTTTCTTCCTATTGGGCACTTTGGTCCTCAACTAACTCTTGTCCCTGGTTGCTGTATAGAGGCTTTTTTCCTTAAACAGGACATTCTTATCTCCTCCTATGGGACTGATCATCTCTCTCCACTTTCCAGTTATCCTCTCTGTTCCTCTAAGAGAGCCTCTCAATTCTGTATAATCGTCCTGTGTCTAGCCTGCCTCCAGCCCTTTGTAAAAAGAAGGCAGAAGGGAAGAGGAGTGGGGAGGGGAGCAGAGGAGGGGAAGAAGGGAGACGGGAACAGATCTCCCCTCTTTTCCCCATCATTTTACATTCTGAGGTAGACGCTGAAGCAGTTATTCTGCCCCAACTGATTAGTGGTGACTTAAAGCAAAACGTCAAGCCAGCAAGGTGTACATCAGCCACTGGCTCACTGCTCATTGACTGACTGGCACCCCCAGGAGACTCACAGATGGACCCCCAGTAGCTGGAGGACTCCTCCATCTGAGTTCCTCAAATCAAAGCCTTCATTTCTCTGCCTTCTCCCGGCGGCCTCCCCCGGCGGCCCCCCCCCCCCCCCCCCCCCATCGCCTCTGTCCCCCGCTTCCTTCCCTGCCAAGCTCTGAATGGGGTGTGGCAGGCCCTCACCCTGCCCCTCCATCACCCAGCTGCCCAGGTAGGGACTGGCAAGGGGCAGGAAGTGTGGCCCCAACCTTGGGTTGGCCTTGACCGGCCAGGGCAGAACCCACACAGGGCAGGGCAAGCACCAGGCAAGATGCTTCTTTTAGGAGCTGCGGTGCCCCAGGGCCCGGAAGCAAACCTCCGGGATGACAATCCTTGAGGTAAGGTACTTTCCTCCAGCTTGCTGAATGGAACCCACAGGCTTACAAAAGGCATGGCTTTCCATTCAGGGAGTAGGATAGGAACAAATATGTTTAAAATTCCAAACGTGACCTTCTCTCCTCTCTGAACAATGAGAACACCATAAAATACATTGCACTAACCTCGTTATGGATGTGGAGAGAGAAGGGAATAGATGCAGCTATGTTAGGTTGATAGAGGCTCTTCTAAGAGCTGCGCTTTACAGCCCTTTTTATTGCATGCCAGTCATGAGAGAAGGCTAATTTAACAAAGACACATTTTTCAGGGACAATACGTATTAGAATTAGCTCACATTCATCGACACCACTCAAATTAACTACAGGAATAATACCTGCATTTTGTAGACACTGCATTCAGCTAATGCTCAGCAACATCCCATTTATGTACCTCAGGAGGAAATTTTGTGGAAATATTGTTGTTGCTGTTGTTTTGCTTTTTGTTTTAAAAATTACATTAAATCTGTTACCAATGGTGAAATATGCAAGGGGTTTAATGTATGCTCAAAAGTAAATAATTAGCAGAGGACTGATAGCTAAATACTACAGGTGGTGGTATCTTATAATACTCATGAAATGGAGGTACAGCATATTTTGATTGATTCCTCTTTCTATAGCAATTTGATATTCTTTAAATACTCATAATCATAATGGTTCCAAGGATTTTGATTTCTGCCTAAACAGAAAAAGGGGGGGAAAATCATCTAAGTTCATATCACTCATCCAGGATGCTGGAGAGCAAACCAATTTCTTCAGTAGTGTGTCTTTTTTTGTGGTGGGGGGCAGTGAGGGGGTGGGAGGTGAGGCCGTGTACAGTAGCTTTTTGAACTGAGCTAATAGCCCTCAGTAAATATAATTCCCCCTTATCGTAAAAGTGTAGCTACCCTAGGATTCTCGTTGGCTTCCCACAAACTATGTTTATTCTGCAATTGCCTTCCAACAAAAAGATGCTACCGTCTCCGTTAGCTGTGCACTGCCAAGTCCAGCTTTGTTTCAGACTAGCTCAGCCTCTCCCTGACTATGAGTGACAGCCATTTCTCATGCTGCTCAAAGACCACAACTGTCATTACAACTATCTGTGCCAAACCCTCTAAAATCCATCCTGGTTCCTCTTCCTCACAGTACTCTCAGGATTTGAAACAAACAAAAATACTGGCATCTCAAATGAGCTGGAAAAGATTCTGGAAAAGCAGATTCTCAAAGCACAGGCTAAAGCTTCTGCACAGCAGACATTTTGTGGAGAACAGAGTCAAATGACAGCCTGCATCTTTTTAATGAATGACACGAGGGAAACCAAAAGGAGTGAGTCCTCGTGACCACTAGAGGGCTCCATTGGACCGCAACCAGTATCACAGTGGCAAATGAGTGACAGTGATTATTCTTCATTGTTTACCTGTCCACAAGGGTGATTTTCCACAATCAAAATAGGCCCTTTGTAATTGTCAGGAAGTACATGGTAACTAAAGCACAATGCCTGCCTTAATAATAGGCAACTACTCTTTAAAAAGGAGAACTAAATGTAAACTTTAATACCAAGAAAGCCTAGAATACCAAACTTTATAATACTACTTATAAATACCAAAAATACCAAAAAGACTAAATGTGATGATGGGAAATAAGAATTTATAACTTAACCATACCAAACATTGCTAAAGTTTTTTCCAGGAACAATCATTTGCAGATAATTAGGCAACACCGTGTTTTTCAATCTCCATATTGTTTTTCTTCAGTGGTTTGGAAATTCAGGGATGTGGATGGCAATACTGCCACAAAATCTAACATTCCAGGAACATTTTCCCACGTACAAGAATCATAAAGTCTTTCGCAAACTGCTTTCACTCCTTTTCTTCCTCAATACATCCATTATTTCATGGTTATTTCTCTTTATAAGATGCTATCTGCTTTCCTGATCAAAGGCCATGATCATTGAATTCCTGAGTCCAAAGGAAATTATGCCTTAGCTGAGCTAGAAACTCTTCCGCATTACCTTTACATCTGTGTATATGTCTAGAAGTGTATGGACAGTTTTTTTTTTTTAATGTATATTGAAGAAAAATCGCAGAAAAGGCAAATTACTTACTTCTTGAAAAATACATGCACTTTTTAACAGTCCCTGTTTTTACACCTGATGCACCAAGAATCAGAGCAAAGATGAAGAAGTACCATTTAGGCTGCACAATAACGTACTGAGTAGATTTGCTGTCTGACGACCCTTTTTATGAAGTAACTGTGAAATATCATTAATTTTGTGCTTCGAAATGCTGTGCGGTTTTATTCCATGTAATTTGTCTGAAGATCATCATACATCTTGCCCTTTTCTCAGAAAGTTTTGTGACTGCCATTGGCCAAAGGTTCAGAACTCTCTTTGGAGTTAAGGGGAAGGCCAGATGCAGCACAGAGGATTTTTAGGGCAGAATGATGGATACATGCCATCATACATTTGTCCAAGTTCATAGAATGTACAACACCGAGAGTGGACCCTAATGTAAACTACGGACTTTAGGTGATTATGGTGTGTCAATGTAGGTTCATCCATCGTAATAAATGTTCCACTCTGGTGAGGGATGTTGATAATGGCGGAGGCTATGCACATGTGGGAGACAGGGTGTACGTGGAAAATCTCTGTACCTTCTTTTCAATTTTCCTGTGAACCTAAAACTGCTCTAAAGAAAAACTGTCTTTAAAGAAGGCCAGAGGCTCTCTGGCCATAGAATACCAGTTATCACCAAGTGGATAGTAAGCCAAAAGCATTCTGGAAGAGTGTAGGCATGTCTGATGTAGAAAGAAAATAGGTATTTTAAGAATTTGGATGAAAGAAAATGCTGCCATCCTTTTACCTGAACTTATAAGTGGGCCACAAAACTAGGGTAACCAGACTCTTGACAAGACCTACCTGAGGCATGAAGTGGGGTTCTTTTGGTTACATTGTCTTTCACAAAGATGGATGCACCCTGATTGATAAGTGCTTCCACACATTCTGTGTGTCCCTTAAAGGCTGCCAGATCCAGAGCAGTGCGGCCTTTCTCATCCCTGATGTCCAGGTCCACCAGCGACTGCAGAAGGACTTCCAAGGCCTGGTGGTGCCCATTGTAGGCCTGCAAAGGAGAAACCAACCACTCAAATGCTTGCTCACCTTAAATCCCACAACAATCCATGTGAGAGGCTAAGGCTCTCCAGATCACGCATGGAGACCACTCCAAAGAGCACATCAGAATGATGCTTGGAATAATTATTGAAACACAGGCAAAACCACAGTTAGGTGGAAAAATTATAACGCACAGACCTCACAGTTACATATGCATTTCTTCGTGTTCTTTCCCTTTTGTCAAATAATTTATTGCAAAGGTACTAAATGTATCAATGTATTCTTATATTTATACCTATTGATCTAATAATCTAATGCAGACTAATAGCTGAATGAATTAATATATTTTTCATCTTCTAGTTCAGTCCTAAACCTATTAACACAATCAGAATATTTTTTCAGGAGGCTTTTCTGTTAAACCTCGAGGGAAAAAAACCACTAAAAACACGGTGGACTTTGTAATTCAAGAGGGGCATAGTGACCTTCTGCCACAGTCCAACATTTTAAATTTCGACCTCATGATCCTAGGTGAGTTTCTTAATTTCACTTAGACTTTGTTTCCTCATCTATAAATGAGATCAATAAAAGCTGCCTTCCAGAGAAGACGAGAAGAGATAAAATTGCAGAGGATTCGCACAGTGTCTTATACATAGTTGATGCTTCCTCTTCTCTCCTTTGTTTCCTCCATTGATTATAATGAAAACATAAAACCAGTTATGGAAGTATATTCCATACATCAGTGCCAAGTTCAGACCCACTGTGAAGTCTTATGCTGCATTAAAGTTAGGAGGCTTCATACTAAAACACAAAACTAAAAGTCCGAAAGGTAATTTTTACTAAGTCTATAAGGTTAAAAAAAAAAAATGTAAATGCACATATAAGGCCAACGATATTGAAATAAAAGAAAGAAAACAGATAAGGATATGGTGGGGGTGGGGATTTGGTGGAGGGAAGTAAAGGAGGAGACAGAGGAAAAGCCTGTCCCCAGTGTCGTCAGCAGCCAAAGTTTCCTCTTATGTCTCCTGCACTTTCTGTTTTTCTACTGCAGCAATTACTCAAGGCACGATTTATTTGAAAAATGGCTTAGCACAGACAAAAGACTAATTTCCTTAATACACAAAGAACTTATACAAACCATTTTAAAAACTAGGAAAATGTGTAAAGGACATGAAAAGGCAGCTCACAGAAAAAGAAATATAAAAGGTCAATACACATACGCAAAAAACCATGTAAATTTTTAGGGTACTATTTTTCAACTACCAAATGGCAATGATTAAGTTTGGGCATGTCCAGTATTAGATAAGACATGGTGAAAAAAAGCAATCTATGCTCTGGTGGTGGAAGTATACACTGGTGTGACATTTGTGGAGGGTGATTTGACAAAAATCTATCAAAAACTGTAAAAAAGTTGCAAATAGTACATATAACAATTTTATAAAAAGCAAATATATCCAGAGAGACACATATCTGTATCTATGTATATTTCTATATTCACAGAAAATTTTAGAAAGATACAAAGGAAACTGTTAACAGTGGTTACCTCTAGAAATGGGAGGTAAAGTAATGAACATGTGGACTCATTTCACCTTGTCTTTTAAAAAACCATTTGAATGTTTTTCCAAGTACATGTCAACCACAACAATAACAAAAACTAGATTAAAAGGACCCACAAGATTTAAGAGTGCTGATAGGAACTGTTTTTAAACCTTTCTCATTATATTATTTTTGTAAATGATTATGATTATTATGCTACATATTAAACATATATATGTAGTATAATAACTCATATGCTGATGAATCCCAAATCTATATCCCAGTTCTAACCACTTCTTTTACTTTGCAAGACATATATATTCAACTGTCTATTGAAATTTCCACTTGAATACCTAATATGCATCTCAAGCTTAACATGTCCCAAACTGACCTCCATCTCAGTAAATGGCAATTTTGTTCTTCTAGCCGCTCAGGCCCAATAATTTGGAGCCCTCTTTTGTCTTCCCTCTTAAGCCCAGGGTTGTAGCGCTACACAAGGGCTCTGGGACATTGGGGCAAGGGGGTGCTAACAAGTAGCTTCCCCGCCCCTTCCCACTGCCTTGCCATGCCCTGGTACAGGGATGTGTCTGCTGAGAGGAAGGGACACTTTTGCTAACCACAAAGAGGTGTCATCAGGTTCTCGGGCATCCGGCAGGAAATATCTATCCATATCCCTGTTGTAATTCACACACAGGTGTTGGGTGACTAGTAGCAGCCCTCAATGCCACGATCATCTCTACTATCCAAGCCATAATCATCTCTACTCTTTCTTTAAAATATATCCAGAATCTATCCAGTTCTCACTATACCACATCCTCTGTTGCCAGGATTATGGCAAAAGCTTCCCTTTCCGTTCTTGCCCTCCTGCAAACGACTACTGAACAGCCACAGGATGAAATCTTTTGAAACTCAAGTTGGATATAGCACTCCTTGATGAAAACTCATTGATAATTCCCTCACTGATAATAAAATCCCAAACTTCTCGTGACCATTCAGGCCCTTAGGATGTGGCCTCCCTCGACCCTGTCCATCAGCACAGTCCTCCACTCACTCTGTTCCAACCACTCTAGCCTGCCCTCTGTACCCCCTATGTTTAAGTAATGCCTGTCCTCCTCTGGGCCATTGCATCTGTCCTTTCTGTTTCCCCTGCCTGGAAAGCCCTTCCCCCAAAGAGCCACAAGGCTTTTTCAGTAATTCTGCTTCAACTGTCCCCTTATCTGGTGGCTTCTCAGAGCCCATATAAAATAGCCCACTACCCGTCTCCTCAACATGTCGGATACTCTACACGCCACTTATCCTGCTTTACTTTAGCTTTATAGCTTTATATATCACTTGATATCTGTTACATATCTATTGATTTGTTTGTTATCTAAGACAGAAGGTACTTTATGTGTATTGCTCACTGTTGTATTCTAGACTCGTGCACGGCACAGACACTCAACAATTATTTGATGAATAAATGAATGAATATAATGACTGCTATTATCATTTATTAGTATTAGTGATAAGAATATATTTTAAAAATAGCAACTATTTATTGAGGGCACTGTGTTGAGCTCTAATCTTTGCAAACATCCTTTTTATAGATGAAAAAAAAACCAAAACAAGCAATGTTAATTAATTCACCCAAGATCACTGAAGCTAGTAAGTGACAAAGTCAGGTTTGAAACCCACAATCTGTGACCACTAGAATCTATGTTTTTAGGCAATGTCTTATAATTTTTCCCAGTAATTCCATTTAATTGACTTTCAAGCAAAATACTTTTGTGCCTATGTGTAATGGCTCAGAGAGCTTAGTAACAAATACTGATTCAGAAACCTAGGATGGAAAGCCTTTAGTCTAACCTAACTTCTGAAGCAATAGTTAATTTCATTGAGTACTTGCTGTGTGTCAGGCAGGACTAGACACGTAGCACCTTATTTAATTACTACGACAAGCCACGGTTTGGATGCTACTGTTATCCCCATCTCACCAACAAGGACACAGGAAGGCTGAGATGTTACTCAGCCCTCAGCCTTATGTGGTGGAGCTGGAATTCAAAGGCACACCAGACAGATCCCAGAGCCTGAGCTGTGGGCTTCTCATGAGCTCGTACTATGGATAGGCTGCAACAAGACCATAAGATATATGCTTCTTTAACTTTTTATTACAGGAAGTTTCAAATTTATATAAAGAACAGAGGATAGTGTCACGAATTCCCAAATACCCATCACCTAGTTTCGGCCATCGTCAACTCACCATTGGTGATTTTAAGCCAACTTGGGAGCACTATCCTCCTATAAAGGGCTGTGACAACAGGAGCATCTACATCAGGGTGTAAGTCAGTCTATCTCAGTTGACTCTGGGCTTGAGTCTGTGGCTTATTTTTGCACAACACCTCTTCTCATTTTAAATTGTAATGGTAGTGACTGATTCAGCTTATGTAGAAATTCTGACTTTACATCAAAGGGAAATGAGTCCATGTAGATAATTGATGGTTCTAGATGCTATTTGCAAATGCTTGTTCCTTCAGTGGCAGTTACTATGATGACAAAGATAGTAAACATTTACAATTTCTGTCACTTTGACTTAGCCTAGGAAAACAGAATTGGCAACCTATAAACTGCATGCGTATCTACAAAGCACCATGGCTCACATATTTAGATTTTAATAAAGAGAAAACCCAAGGCAAAGAGAAACATATTCAGGAAGGAAGGTGATGTAGACGGATCAGCTCTGTTCAGGATAGCAGAGTCACATCCAAGGGCACTTAACTGAGGCGCTGACTTAACTCCTGTAAAAGACCCCTGCAGTTCCTCCTTTAATTCTCACAACAAAAAATAAACCCATTTGCACGTGTTAAAGAGGCTTAACGTTAAAATGGAGTGAACCTTGCTGAAGGAAAGCTTCAGAATTCCAATCGATATTTTCTTCTATATCAGGCACTTAAAAATTCAAAGACAGGATGGTTGAAAGGCCAGATTGATATATAGAATTCCCTTTGTTTCTTCCATTAGTCAAGCCTGCAGCTCTTGAATTTTAGTATCCAAAAGCCTTACGATATGGAGTTGAAGACATAAAACTATGTATGCTATACTTCCAGGGCAATTTAAGGGAAATAATAAAGATAAATTTGATAATACACGAATTTTCACTTACCTTCACACTTTAGGGCTTAACCCTAGAAACAAACTACCACATAACATGGAATTCTATTCTGTGGTTAAATGCATGATTCTGTCTTTAGGCAGTTATGTGGTTCTTAGAGTCTATAAGAAAGTATAAAATAAAGCTTTAAACTCTCTGAAAGAGACTCAGGTAGTCAGGAAAGAAGACCTTTCTCAAATCAGCAGTGCATGATGAACACTGTCTTATTTTTCTTTCTATTCCCATCCTAAATCAGGTGTTTAGTGGGTAATTCCACAAATAATTTCTAAAATATCTCCAGGAAGAAGTAATCACACAAAAGAGCAAATATGCTGGTTCAAAAAGCATGTAGTATTTTGGCTTTCAATAGACAACCCAGTTTAAGCCTTCACTAGAGGTGGCAATCAAACATTTCAAATTTGTTTTACAAAAGACTTTAAAAAATCTCATTAAGTAACTTAAATACTTCTTAAACATAGTTAATTTATTTGAACTTTTTAGATTGGAGCTGAGGGCAGCAAGGAGAAAGAATTTGGGATCTCAACAGAATCCATGAAACAATGGGTCCATCTGGAAATCTCCACAGCTGGAGCCTTTCATTTGCATAGCCTTGTTTCTTGATTTAATTTTTTTCAAGTGGATGAAATGCTTATGAAATTCACTGGGCAGATAACCCTGGAGACTTGACTCATTCAGCCAGGAAATAGTAACTCAAGGCCAGTCAGGTTTCTTGGGGTAGTCAAGGTATGGGGGCATCTGGTTCTCTTTCACTGTAGAATCTTCCACGGAAGAAATAATGTGCCTTGGGCTTTATTCAAGTTAATTGCTACAGAGGGCCCTGGGGAGGGCGATGGGCATTCTTGCGGGGTTCTTGGAGCAAATAATAATTTCTTTAAAAAGTATTAGCTTTTAGAGGGAAAAAATAAAATAGTTTTAGAATTGACCCACTGCTATCACCCTGGTCAAAGTTATCACCATCATCGCTTGCCTGGTTGTCTAGTTTCTGCTTTGTTCCCTGACAATTTAAACTCAATGCAGACGTTAAAGGGATCCTTCTAAGATAAAAGTCGTATCGCAACATCTGTCCCCTCAAAACCCTCCAAACGGTTTCCTCTTTTGCTCAGTGAAGAAGTCAAAGCTCCCCCTGGAGTCTGTGGCCCTCCCCCGCCTCCCTGCCCCCTCTACAGCACTCGGACCCCTACCACCCTCCCTGCATCACTGTGCTCCAGCCATGGTGGCCTTGCTGTTCTGGGAACATGCCAAGTGTGCTCTCACCCCAGGGACTCTGCACTTCTGCCCAGAGCATTCTTCTGTCCGAGACCAAATGGTTAGCTCGTCGCATCCCTGGTCAAACGTGAGATGCTATGTTGTGGGAAACAGCGCCCAGTCTGCCACCTCGATGCTCTCTGTCTCACTGCTCCCATTTGCAGCAGCACTTCTGACCACCTGCCACGTTGTATATTTACTTGTCTATTGTCTCTCCCAGACTGCACACTCTACAAGGACAGTGGCTGGGTTTTGTTTGTTGCCATGTCTCCAGCTCCCGAAATAGTGTTCGGTACACGCACAGTCAGTATATGTCAAAGGAAAGAATGTTAGTGATGTTACTAATAGCGAGGATGATAGTGCCAGGTGCTGTTCTAACTGCTTTACATGCATTAACCCAGGTCATCCCCCCAGTGGCCCTATGACAGAGGTACTGCTATTCTCCCTGTATTATGAGTGGGAAAACTGAGACACAAGAGGTTAGGTACTTGGCCAAGATCATACAAAAAACAATTAAATAAATTAACAAATTGGAAAGGGTTTGGGGATCCTTAACTGACTCACTCCTTTTAATTTACAGATGGAAAAACCATGTCCAGGCGAGTTGCTAATGAGAAGACTGGTGGCTAGGATCCCCTAGGTGTAGAGCTACCAAAGCCCAACTCTCTCCAATGATATTGTACCACCCTGCCTTTACAGGACTGGGAACCGACAACACTTAACAGAGCACCTGGCACCCAGTAAGCACTCAACAATAATTTCTGAAACAAACAAACAAAAAAAGAATGAGAGATGATAGAATTTTTTGGAAGCTAGGAAAGTCTCTTCTCATATTACCAGCAGGCTTAGCAATGCAATCAACCCCACCTTCATAGGGCATGAGAATTCTACCTGAGATAACCTTTCCAAGAGGCCTTTCCCAGCTTTGGGGTAACTTCCCCAGGCACAGCAGATGGCTGGGCAGAGATTCTAGGGTCAACCTTTAGAGCAACCTGTACTAAGAGCCAACTGGTATAAAATTTTATACATGTAAATATCCCACCCTCCATCCACCTTTTCTACTCTAAGCCCATGTCTGGAAGAAAGACGAACGGACATTTTAGCCTGATTTCACTGGACTCAGTGTGTGCGTGTGTCCGTGTGTATAGTTGCTGCGTTGGGCTCCATGAGTGTGATCGGTTCATCCCAATCCTTGTGGCATGGCCTCATCCCTTCTTACCCTGCCTGACTGCTTAAGTATGCCATCAATAAAACACTCCTCTCTGCTCTCCAAAATCTCCATCTCAATTTTTCACCAGAAGGAAACTGAATAAGTGCTTATGTGTGCGTGGTACTGAGTGAAATGTCATAACTGCTAAACGCAGAGACCCAGTATCCTACTCTTCCCAACATCCAGCCTCTGGGTGCATCCAAACACCTTCTTGATGGCCCTGGACCGAGGCCTCACAGCTCAGCAGAGCCCTGCGTAGGTGAGCTGGCTGTTGCCAGTCTGAGAGGTGCCTAGGGAACAGCTGCTGCTGATCAACGGTTAGCAAGACCTTAACTGAAGCAGAGTGGCAGTGAGCTTCCCAGCTCGGTCACCCTCAGAGAGAGTCTGGGGACCCCCACTCTGAGCTATTGCATTTCTCTTCAGTGACTGGGATGAGGAAAGGAAGCTTTACTGGCGGCAGAATAATTCCTGTTCCCCTCCCTCCCAGATCTCACCCAGTATAAGAATCAGCCCCTGATACCTCCTCTGAGACCCCGATTCCAAGCCCAGGCAGAAGCAGCAGAGTTGCAATTATGCATATTTTCATCTTGCTCTCACAAGTCTGTATTTAAATATCGCAAGTTTTTAAGTGTGGCATTCGATTATCTGTAAGTTCAGTACTTGCTGTCTATACTTAAATCTCTAAAAGCAAAATAAAACATTTCCTCAGTTTACTGATTTAACCACTAGATAATAATAATTTAGAGACTTCAAATTTATAACAATGATTATTCTTAAGGGCACTGTGATACGGCTTCATGCACGTTGTCTCTTTTCCTGTATCCTCACTTCACAGATGGGCAAATCAAGGCTCAGCCAGGGTAAGTCATGTGTCTGAGGTCACCAGTGAGAAGCTGGGATTGGAATTTGAGACATGCTTTCTCACCGCAGCCTGAGCCTTCACCCATGTACTGTTTCCATTATGAGTTATTATGCATCGCTATGCTTCCCTTTTAAGAGCAGCCTAGTTTTAGGAACACTTAGGTTCTTTTTGTAACGGGGGAAGCGGCCTACGGCATCTCACTTACAGCTAAGTGGAGCGGACTCTTGGTAGCACCAGCATCTGACTCTTCAAAAACACTGTTGGTTCTTTCCAAAAGCTGTGGAGACACAAAGAAAACAACAGTACGTGAGTGCAATTTGCAGAAGGAATCCTACTTTATGGATACAAGTGTTGACATAAATGAGAAAGGAGGCTTCAGAAACGTAAGAAATCATGCAACTTCTCAGAAACGTTAAGAAATCTGATATAGCATATCTAAACCAAATATGCTAACTGAATATTTCAACTTCTAGGTCATCTTAGCATTTGTTATTCAAAAGAATACTTGAAAAGTTGCTCAGCTTCACCAATCGAGGCAAATAATTCATGTTAAATCCACTTCCCACCCAGCAGGTCATCACAACGAGAAAATTACAATACCCAGGGTCTATTCCATTATCAAACACACATTTACGGAGACAGCGTTGCAAAAGACTTAAGAGCTTAAGAAGCTCTTGTTCTCACGGAGCTTACATTCTAGAGCGGGAAAGCACAGACAAACAAATAAACAACATACACGTAAGAAGATATCTGGTAGTGAAATATGCTGTAATGAAAGTAAAGTAGGGAGATGTGAAATGGAGTGACTGGGAAGTTACTCTACAGCTGATGGCCAGGGGAGGCCTCTCCAAGCAAGGAGATGACAGTTCAAGTGAGACCTGAAGAAGAGTGAAATCAAGTCAAAATGTGGCAGGAGAGCATTCTGGGAGCAGGAAGGAGTCAGGGCAAATGCATCAAGTGGGGATGAACGCGGTGAGTTCAAGGAATGGAACGGATGGTGTGACTAGGGTATGATGTTGGTGAGGGTGTCAGGCAAAAGACATTTCATTGACTCTTGTTGGGAGAACAAACTGTTAAAACCTTTCCGGGCAATTCTGTGCATACCTTTGACCCTAGGAGTTAATCCCCACTAAATAATTAGACAAGCGCACAATGACACATGTATAAAGAAATATATTCATTCAACACTTGATGAATGACTACCAATGTGCCCAGATACTGTTCCATGCACCGATTCAAAAATAAAAAATATATTTAAAAATCAATTTTTTCATGGGGGGCAGGGCAGGCAATAGAAAAAAGAAGTTATATAATTAATTAGAAAGCCATAGGTGCGATGGAGAAAGATAAAACAGAGAAGGAGGGTTTGGAAGGCTGGAGGAGAGGTCCATTTGCAACTTTATATACAGAGACCAGGAACGGCCTTACTGAGCAGGTGATGGCTGAACAACGTCTGGGGGCGATGAGAGAGCCTTGTGGATATCTGGGGGAAGAGCATTCCAAGCAGAGGGGCCAGCAATTGCCGAGTCCTTTAGCGACAGAGATGCTTAAGATCATCAGTGAGACTGGAGCAAGGTGAGCAAGAATGAGAATGACAGGACAGGAAATCAGAAAGATGGTGGCACTGTGGGTGGTAGTATCACAAGGAGCCTTCTGGGTTGTTGTAAAAAGTCTGTGACTTCTATCCTGAGTGAGATAGAATTTCACTGGAGTGCTTTGAGCCGAGGGGTGACATGTTCTAACTTTTAGACTCTAGGGAGGGCACAGAGACCACTGAAGAGCTGGGGCAAAAGTCCAAGAGAAATAACGGTGGCTTGGACCAGCAGGGAGCAAGTGGTGATGGAGAAAAGTGTTGGACTGTGGATATTTTTGGAGGCAGAGTCAACAGGATTTGCTGATGGACTGAATGTGAATGTGAGAGAGAGAAGTAAAGGATGACACTCAGGATTTTGTTGTAAGCAAACTGAAAGATGGAGGTTCCACGAACTGAAATGGAGAAGTGAGTGGAATATATGTAGCGGGAAAAAGCAGAAGTTCGATTTTGGAAATGTTAGGTTTGAGATGCTTTTAAAGCATCAAAAATACATGTTAGGGCTTCCCTGGTGGCGCAGTGGTTGAGAGTCCGCCTGCCGATGCAGGGGACACGGATTCGTGCCCCGGTCCGTGAAGATCCCACGTGCCGCGGAGCGGCTGGGCCCGTGAGCCATGGCCGCTGGGCCGGCGCGTCCGGAGCCTGTGCTCCGCAACGGGAGAGGCCACAGCAGTGAGAGGCCCGCGTACCGCAAAAAAAAAAAAAAAAAAAAAAAAGTACATGTTAATCGGCAGCTGTAGGATACACGGGTGTGGACTTAAGGGTATTTAAAGCCATAAGGCTGGATGAGATGAGCCAGGGAGTACACAGAGAAGGGAGACTGGATCCTGGGCACCCAACATTAAGAGCTAGAGAGATGAGAAGGAACCAGCAGGGAGATGCAGACTGAGCAGGTGAGCTAGAAAGAACATCAGGAGAGCAGGAGGTTCTGAAACCAAGTGAAGAAACCGTTTTAAGGAGAGAATGCATAGCCGTGTCAAAAGTCCTGATAGGTCAAGTAAAATGGGGCCTGAGAATTGCCCGCTGGGTTTAGGAACATGGAGGCTATTAGTGACTCTGCTAAGAGCAGTTTATCAAGACACTGTTTATATGGAAAAAAAAAAAACCCAACCAACAGAAAATGAATAAACAGCAATAGGGATGGAGTAAATAAACTGTAGTGGTATTTATATATCACCACTTCTGATAAGCTCTCCCTCTTGATATTGCTGTTAAGTCTTCTTTGTATAGTGATGCATCCAAAAGGGACAAAAACCCAACACCCAAAGCCTTGATGTGTGGTGAATATGGCAGTATTCAGTGTCCACTCCAGCCTCCTGACTGATGGGATTGGGCTGCCCTATACTGCAGAGACTAGACAGCTCAAAACTACATTTCCTAGACTCCCTTGAACTAGGGTTTCAGATCTGATTTAGGTTCTGCCAACTAGGTGCAGTCTGAAATTTTAGAGACAGAAGTGAGCAGATGGCATCTCTGATTTCTGAGGGTAAGCAGAGTCATGGAGACTTTAGCTTGTCTTTTAGCTCCCTGTGGGCAGGCTACTATCTTCGTGAGGGTAGAGAAGCAAGACAGGGATACAGGCATCTGTTTTTGGCAGTGTGGATTAAGCAGATGCTGTGTGGCTCTAGGGCCAATAGCAGTGGCAGTGACAAGTCTGTCCCCGTAAGTCAGCTGGGGTGGTGTGTCTATGGAGCAGCCATTCCAGGGCTGCTTTCTGATTCCCCATCTCCCTGATCATGAGGAAGGGGCAGCTACCCTGGCAGTCCAAGTGCAGTTTAGGTTTATTTCTGGAGGATCAGCCTAGGGCGCCCTCTTCTAGACCTCCCAACAATATTATAAACACTTTTTTTTTTTTTTTTTTTTTGTGGTACGCGGGCCTCTCACTGTTGTGGCCTCTCCCGTTGCGGAGCACAGGCCCCAGACGCGCAGGCTCAGCGGCCTTGGCTCATGGGCCCAGCCGCTCTGCGGCTTGTGGGATCTTCCAGGACCGGGGCACGAACCCGTGTCCCCTGCATCGACAGGCAGACTCTCAACCACTGCGCCACCAGGGAAGCCCTGTGTATTGTTTTTGTAATAAAAACACTAAAGCTATTTCTGTTTGGAAGAAAAGCCATTAACCTTCCTTTTCACTTAATAGAATGATGTACACAGACCCCTAGATAGGTCCAGAACGCCTTTCTAGTCAATGCATGTGAAACAAAATGTTCGCATTCTCTGGTAGATCAAGTAACAGTGTAAAATTTACCATCTAAAAGCACACAATTTCAAGTTTTCAAATAATACAATACAAATAATTATATCGGAAGTATGAGACATTTTATGTTTGTTTTTATTAGTGCGAGAATAGAATTTGGAACTTAAGCAATCTAGGATACATTAGAATAATGAGAGCAAATTTAATTTTAACTTCAAAACTAATAACTTTAAAACCATCTGCCATACATAGTTGAAATAAAAGTAGCTTCAACTGCTTGAAAAGGCTAGAAAACAGCTGTTCTTTGCTTTGTTTTGCAACATTATCACCTGCAAGAGTTCCTGGAATTGACAGTGCCTACCAACTCCAAATCCTGTCCTAGGATGAACTTTTAATCAAAGGAACACAGAATCATTTCCACCATTATCACAAACACGATGAACAGAGGCAAGAAGACAATGTACTGTTTACAGTCAAAAGTTAGGCATATTCCCAGAAGATTTATTGTGGAAGGTTTTTCCACACATGTACTTTGATCATTCTAATAGCATGTGATTTTTACTTCAGTCATTCACTACACGTTTGCTGAATGTCATCTCTGTCAAGAAGCCTGGGTTAGGCACCAGGATTCAACTGTGCAGCGAACAGATGTGGTCACTGACCTGAGAGAACTTAGACGCTAGTGGGGAACCCACAGAAGTTAACGGGTAGTGAAAACAGTGAGGCAAGAGCTAGGATGCAAGATGCTATGGGAACATGAAGGAAGAGGTACCTGACATAACCCTGGGGGTCAGAGAAGACTCTTCTGTAAAGGAAGGTTTAGCCTGAGACCCAGAGGGTAGGAATCTGTGAGGCAAAGAGAGAAGGGAATTTCTAGGCAGAAGGAAGAGCATGTGAGAACACAACAAATACGAAAAGCTTTAGATTTAATAAGACTAGATAGCATGTAGGGGTAAGGAAAGAATGAGGAGCAATTAGGCTGGAAACGTAAGCAGACGACAGATTAGGTATAGGATGATCATATCATTATCGCCCAATTCAGGACATTTATGAGACTGACAATTGCGCTGGGATAACAGCTGTAAGCCAGGACGTCAAATCAGGATAATTAGTGAGTCATTGCAGTGCTTTCAGCCGGGAAGAGGCATGATCACGATCAGATTCTTGGATTTCATGAAAATCTCTCTGTGCAGTGTGGAAAATGAGCTGCAGTGGTGCTGGGGGTGAGGACTGCAACCCTAGAAGCAGGGAGATCAGTTAGGATATTTCAACTATGGGATTTCTAAATTATGAATTATTAAGCTGTTGAGAATGGATGGTGGCCTATACTACAGAAGAGGCAGAGGAAATGGAAGGAAGTGGGGATATTCAGGACTTTCATTCACTCCTTTATTCATTCATTCAATAGTTATTGAGTACTGTGCTAGGCACTGAGATTTCCAGTTCTAAAATGGTCGTTACCCACATGAACCTGAGAACCTAGAAGGTGTAA